TTCCCCTACCAATAAGATGGGGAGCTTATAAAGGACAGGGACAGTGACTTTTGCTATTCTGTATTCCCTTTGACAGCTAGCAATGGCCTGGGCATCAAGATTTGAACTCAACTTAATTGGATATATCGATTAAGATTTCAGCTTTTTTCATTTGATTGCCGAAGGTGGATGAAAGAAAATGTAGCCTTATAACGTATCGTACACTGATGTTATCTTTATATACACATACTTTCACAAAAGCAAGTCTTGTTCTCAACTATACTTTAGAGTCATATCACTGTATCCTTATCAGCTGGGACTAGTACCTAAAAATAATGAGAATTCTTCTTGGAATGGATTTCTCATTAAAATGAAAAAATAAAGACCTAAGACTGATTTAACAAAAAGTTTGTATCCTAATTTTTTTCATGGAGATCCCAAATTCCATAAAGCACCATAAATACTTTGTAATCTAATGCCTATTAGTCAAAGAAACATGGGCATTGACCCTTGTATAAAATAAGAAAGAAAAAAATTACCTCTTCCTCTTATACATTTGCCAGTGTCCCAGAGAAATAAATAATCCGTCAGTAGTTCAGCACGATTATATGTTTACAAAGCACAGAGGATTTATTCTAATATTTTCCCACCTGGAAAAACTGGGCTTAAGCATCTTCAGCAATCAAAAAGCAACACCGTGTCCTTCCCAATATGTCATGTCACCTTTACAGCAATCATACTTGCAGGAATGGGACTGGGTGGTGGTAGTAACTGTAAACGTTCTGATGTAGAAATTGCAGATGGAGAGCTCGGCTCTGGGGATGGACGTGGAAAGGAGCAGAAAGGAGCCTGGAGAAAAGGCTGTCATATTTGCTCAGAAGAACCGCCAAATCAGAGAGCAGAAAAGATTTCATTGGAGGAGCAACTAATCCTGTCATATTGAAAGAAAATTGTAAATGTTCTCTCCAGAAATTGTTCGCCCATTGCAGCTAATCGAACACACACTCACGAACACACGCACGCTCTCGTTATACCAAAGGTGCCCGGGCGCAGAGACCCGCTCCAGCGAGTGCGCGCGTGCACACACACACGGACACGCACACACAAACACGAACGCAGACACGCGCTAGCCTGAGGGTTGGCCAGAGCCTTGAAACTGCAGATTGCACTAGGAGGTCGCCAGAGGAACCGAACTCTAATTAGTAATTAGTTGCCCCTACACTAATTACTACTTCCCTTACTTCCCCAAGCACTTTGGTGAAGAGATGAATCCCGCCCAGCTCGGCAGTCCAGCCAGGTCTCTGTTCGGTCTTGCTCTCCAGACTCAGCTTCTTTGTGAAAGCCAGGTTTGAAACTCCTTTTTTGCTTCTCCTTTGGTGTTCTGGTGTGGAGGGCGGGGGCGGTGTCACTTTAACTCCAGTCTACACCGCAAAGGGGTTTCAGACTCGTCAAGCGACTGGGACGGGTGTGGGGTGCGCGACTCTGCTAGCGCGCGCCCGAGCCTCGCAGCTCTGGCCTGAGCCTTCGGGTCCGCTCTCCCCCCGCCTCCTCCGCCCCACCCCTCCGGGTGTCGCGGCACCAGCTAATCTTTTCCTTTTCGCTTGCAAGATCAAGGGAGAAAGCAAGCCGGCGCCTGGCCTCGGACTCTGAGCGCAGCGCAGCTTGCTCCCCGGCCGGTGAGCCCCGAACCCGCGAAGGGCTCCTCCACGCTCCCGCCAGCCCGCACCAGGGATATTGCAGCCCGGGGAGGCACCTGGAGCTAATCGGGCGGCAGGTAAGGACAGCGCGCTGCTCAGCTCTCTGCTAGCCAGCTCCAGGGACCCTGGCGCCGCGGGGTCCCTCGCAGTTTCCAGGAGCGGGCGCGGAGGGGTCAGGTGTTAAGGAATTGGAGAATTCCTCCACAAGTGCAGATCCTCGAAAGGAAACTTTGGCTTCTGGGGCTTGGAGAACTGAGGGCAGCGATGGCGGGTCTGGAAAGAAGGGGCAAGAGAGGCAGAGCGCGGGACAAGGATGCGATTCCACGGGTCACTGAGTCCGGAGGAAGGTGACAAAGGTAGCCTGGGGGCCGCGCCGGCCGGGACATCTCTCCCTCTCCCAGCCCGCCATTCCCTCCACTGTCACCCGACTCCCTCCTCCTCCCCGACACGCCGTCAAGGAAAAGACTGGAGAGCTTCGCCCTCTCCTGCCCCTCACGTTCCTTCCAGCCTGGGGTCTGGCCACGTCTCCCAGGCGTTTGGGGTGGAGGCCCAGCTCCTCTGGCTCCATATGGCCCCCTGGTTCCGCCTTCTGAACTGCCCTTTGGGTGCCCGCGCCAAGTCGCTGGAGAGAGGCTTGGTACTGCGGTCCAAGGAGCATGGCCAAGGGGCAGGGGAATAAGAATGAGGAGAGGGTCCCAGGACAGAGGAGGAGGCAGCTTTCTGCAACCCCATCTCATTTCGGCCTGCACACGAGGTCGGCTGTCTGCTTTGACTTGAGGACAGGGTCTCAGTCCGGAGCCCGCGAGGTCCCGGACCGTGCCTGGGCTTCGCCGACAGCCACCTCACAGTGGGCTCTGGGCCACCCCGGCGGGGTTCGGGGTCACAGATTGCAAACAGCTGCACCCACAATGTCCCTCGCAGTCCACACCTGAGGACCCGGGTGATCGCAGATAACTTGTAGCTCTCGGAACCCGCGAGGCGCGGTCCAAGCCCGCACAGGGGAGATGGAGCAGAAATTCCACTTGTGCGCTCTGCCGCGCGCCCCTGGGGCGCCCCCCGCGGGGCAGGAGGCTGCATGCCTAGGAGAGCTCTTAAGAGGTCAAGATTCCCCGAAATCACTGACTCAGAAAGCAGCACACACCCACTGCCTCAGCCTCCTTCCAGCGCCCCCATCACTTTCTCTACCCTCCTGCCCGTCGCCGTCTTCGAGGCTGCTTTGAGCCACAAAATGGTCCACAGGAGCATCTGCCGAGCTCACCAGACCCAGGCCTTGAGACCGATGTTGCCTGTATGGAAATATCTCTGGGGAGTCACTCGGGACGGAGAGGCGGGAGGAGAGCGGAGAAACGGAGGTAAACCCTTAAGGCAAGCAGAGCTGCCCTCTGACCTCACCCGAGCTGCCCGACCATGTCCTTAGTCAGTTCACAGCCACAGCATGTCTGTGACGGAGGCCACCAAGGGCTCCAAGTCAGCCAGCCAGGCGCGGCGAGCCCATCCAGAGCACGGCGCCTCCAGGCCCTCAAGCTCCGGAATCCCCTGCATTGACTTTCTAGTTCCCTTTCATCTTTTCTTTTTTTGGTTTGTTTTGCTTTTCGTGCTCTTTTTCTTAGCGCTGGGTGGCAGTGGGTTCGTGTAGTTTGCCTGTCCCCTAGTACACGCAGCCAGCGACACAAACACATGCTGTATGGCACACCCGCCTGCACTCCGTCACGCAGCCCCCAGCTCGACTGCCCCGAGTGCCGGCAGCAATGGCCACCTCCATAGCACGATCCCGGCCGGTGGCCTAGGTTCCTCCGAGGGCTGGGCCAGAGGCGAGGGGAGCCAGCCCAGACTGCAGAGAGAAACAGTGGGGCAATCGGAAAAGCCTGGGAAAAACTTGAATTTGGGTTGAGGGTGGGGTGGGGGGAGACACTGAGGGAAAAGGCCCCCAGCGCTCGAGCTCGGCTGCGGCTGCGCAGAGCATTAAGGGACCCGATGCTGCGGCGCCCTAGACCCTCAGCACCCTCAGCACCTGCCTCGGGCAGAGCCCACCCTTGGGGGACAGCCTTTCTCTGGGGAAGTTCAGAAGGCCAGGTGCACCTCACTTCGCTCCAGGCCATTCGGGTTTACCAGTCTTGAGAGGGCTCTGAAAGTCAGGCAGCTCATAAACTCTAGCTATTCAACCCAGCCTTGTGCCCCAAAGGCCCCGCATTGTATTTTGTTGGCAGCCTGTATGTATGTATGCATTTTTGGCAATCTGTATAGCAAGGAGATTATTATAGAGTACATTTTCCTTGATAAGCAAATAATGAGGATGATGACACACTTAAGAAACTGCAATTAGGGGTGTGTGATCTTCGGGGTGATAACAACAAGGTCATAATCATAGAAGTAAACCAGTTGATCACAGTAAGAATATTAGGCTGCAGTTCAGAAAGTGGACTTTTGAGACTCTTGGCAAATGGATGGAAGAATTTTGTACCAACAATGTTGCAGCTTTGCAGGATTTGGCAGCTAAGGATTCAAGAAGTAATAAGTTAATGCCATGTGATTTTTATTGTTATTACTGTTATTAGTAATGTGTCCAGTTGTGGCAGTAGGATAAGCAACTTCTGTTGACTCTGTATGCTTTACTAGGCTAAACAATTATGCCAATTAAAACTGAAAAGTAAAACTTGACCCTACAAAGGCATGGAAATTCCACCCACCTCAGCTTACTCTTTTAAAACTCTGTGAATGAAATGGGGCGGGAGTGGGGTAAGGTCCGTGGACCCAAAACTTAAGGGTGAGCTTCCTGACAGATGCTTGGTCTTCCTACAAAAGAAAGGTGTGTTTGTTAATGTAAGTGTCTGAGGGTGTCTGGGGGTGGGGGGGATGGAGTGAGAAAATAGGTCGATTTGAATATCCCTATCCTAGTTTAAGTTCAAGAAGACCACAGAATGTGTTTTTAGCTCTCAGCTGGCTTCAGGGATGGACGTACAGGAGACTAGCAGTCGAACATTGGTAAAAGTCCCTTTGGAAGGAGTTCCCCGGTCTGTCAGCATAGGAGGCAGGGATTGCTATCTTCACATTTAAAAACCACATTGCTCCAAACATGATCCTACCCCCTTCTTTGCCCAGATAACCCCCAACATCAGGCACTTGGATGTACATTCAGTGGCAGTTTTACAATTCTAATTTCAGGGTAGCCAGCCCCCAGGGCCCAGGGCACAGGAAGAGGGAGGGCAGCATCAGAGTTTTGAAGAGAACAGCAGACCACAGCCTGCTGGCTCACAGGGAAGGCAGGGAAGGCATGGCACCCACTTCAGTGGAGGAGGACAGGCAGGCTGATCAGGAGACACATGGCTCTCTGACCCACAGCAGTGAACAAAGTTAAAGCAAGTGCAAAAGAGGAAGAAGAGGGGGCAATAGAATAAAGGAAGAGGAAATGGGTGAAAAAAATGAGGGCGAGAATCTGTGGGCGCATGCCATTAACAGCCACTATAATAACCTCCATCACCAATGTCAGTTTTTGCGGTATGCCTGTGAGAGAATGCCCATGAGTAATTGTCTAAATATGACCACTCAAACTCCACTCTTACTCTTATCTTAATCTTACTTCAGTTTACTCAGTAGGAGTAATGTCAGTCTTCAAGAGACTGACAGAAACATTTTGTCACACAGTTCCCTTGAGGGGCCTGGTTTTCTCCATTTAACCTTATATTTGAGTTGGGTTGGCATTTTATGATGCGGACCTGTGTTGTTTTCCTCAGTGGACTCCTCTATATCAAACACTGTCAATATATCCTCCTCATGACTGTTACCACCTGGCTTTCATTCCCTGTCACCTGTCCCCATTTCGTCTACCTTTGGTTCTTTGAGCAGATGTTGGGACTGCTTTCCTAAGAAGGTGTCAGAGCAAGTGTACTGATTGCATACCCCAAAAGCTCAGCTTGGTCACATGGCAGTAGTGGTGGTGATAGTGTGTGTTTCCTGTGGGACAAAGGAAGCAGGTCGTTTTCCTTGGAAATGCGTTTTCATAGAGTGTATTCTAAGTCACTGAAAGTGTCCTAAGCACCTCACATATGTTATATCATCTATTCTGTCAGGGCTTTATCCCCACTGTTTAAGATAGTGTCTGGCACATCCTAGGAGTTTATTAAATATTTGTTGAATGAGTGAACAGATGAAACAGTTTTCTCATTGCAACAATCCTATGAAGTAGATGTTATTGTCCCCATTTTATAGATCAGGAAACCAGCATTCCGAGGGGTCAGGTAATGGCCCGAGATTACACAGCTAGTGAGTCGTAGCCCTTGGATTCAAACATAAGCGTGTTGGACTCCAGTCTTTGTCTTATACTGTGCTGATGAATAGTTGTAGTGCGCATTTTCCGCTATGTTTGGGGAAATCACAACTGTGGTATTCAGAGTCCAACAATGTTCTCCCCATTCTTTTAGTTCAACTCTGCATATTCTTTTTTTTTTTTTTTAAGATGTTGGGGGTAGGAGTTTATTAATTAATTTATTTATTTTTGCTGTGTTGGGTCTTCGTTTCTGTGCGAGGGCTTTCTCCAGTTGTGGCAAGCGGAGGCCACTCTTCATCGCTGTGCGCGGGCCTCTCACTGTCGCGGCGTTTCTTGTTGTGGAGCACAGGCTCCAGATGCGCAGGCTCAGTAGTTGTGACTCACGGGCCTAGTTGCTCCGCGGCATGTGGGATCTTCCCAGACCAGGGCTCGAACCCGTGTCCCCTGCATTGGCAGGCAGATTCTCAACCACTGTGCCACCAGGGAAGCCCAACTCTGCATATTCTTGTTGTGTCCCCTAAACCCTAAGCAAGAAAGATTCATCACCAACTAGATTCTTAGTTGGCACAAGCCGCTTGTTCTGATTAATCAGTGACTGCCTCTGGTAGAGGGAAACAGGGGCAATGAAATCACCTGATGTTTTGGCTGATGCTATTTTCACCTATAGCGACACTGAGATTTTCTTTTGTCTGGTGCTAAAGGCTGAAAGAGAGTTTTGATATTATCCAGTTTAACTCATGTTAAGTGTTGAAGTAGATGAAGAGGTTTTCCCATTGTGATGCAGCTAACCAAGGACTGCCTCAGAATACACAC